TTTTATTTCATTTCAATAGTAACAAAATTAAATTTCATGTTCTTACAAACTAGAATAATAAATTACAGGTAGCAAAACATTTTTTAGGTAAAACAAAAATAGTAAATACATACAATAATGGTTTAAAAAAAAATTAAATTCACTTTTTTAATTACCTACATTACATATTTACATACAAAAAATAAAATTTTTATTACATTTTTCTTAAAACTAGTAATATTTAATGAGAAAAGCTATAAATTTTATCATATATGTAAATATACCTATAAATTCACCTAAATTACACTAAATTATTTAATTTTCTTTTATAAGGGATTAAATTACCCACTTATTTAAATTGTTAAAATCTTAAAATTAGTAGGTAACTGATTAAATTATATTTGCCACAGGCAACAGAATAAAATTTAAAGCTCTTACAAATTAAAAATGGTGTTGAATCCCTTTTTCCTAATGCTTGTATCCATCTAACCCTGATTCTTTCGCTCTTTGGCAAAGTATTTACTTTGCCAAATGGTATACCGATAATTATAGGTATAGCATTTACGTTCTCCTTTTCTTGTAGACTATTGCTTCTGCATCCTTCGACGCAACACTTTCCGGGCATTTCTCTTTATATAACGTTAATAATATATACCATAATATTTTATTTAAATATGATTACAATAAAAACTGATGACAAATAATAACAAACGACACCTGAAGTAAATGAAGTTTTATGCTATACAAATAAAAGTGACCGAATCAGTTGCCTTCCCAATATAATATACAATACATTAAGTATAAATCAAATTCAATACAAATAAAATTGAACAATATACTAAATAACTTATGGCTACACACAATACAAAAAAGAACGAACGAAAACTGATCAAATATAAATAAAATACAATGCAAAAAAAATTGACCGATTCACGTCACACGTGCCTTTTGCCTAACATAAATACAATACAAGCAAATATTATAAAAATGTCTGTTAAATATTTCTTTCAAATTTTTAGGACTTTAGTAAGCTTATAGTTATCATACCTAGAAAAATGTAAATTTGGCTCTTACAAGAGTTTCGCCTTGTGCTACCCGGATTCCCTGAAATGCTCGCCAGTTAGTTTCGGTAGCAACCAGAACTCAAATGCCAAATTTCAAGAAATTCCAGCAAAGCGTTCCGTAGATATGGTGAAAAATGTAAAATCGGCCCGCAGATCAGTTTTCGAGCCTTGATCTTTCCAAAAAATTTTTATGTTTTAATACGGAGAATGTAGATATTAAATTTCAATGAAATCGGTTGATTATTTCTATTTAAATACGCGAAAATGTATATTTGACCCGTAGTAAAAGTCTAGTTGCTGATACCTGATTTCTTCCAAAAGTTAGGAGGTTTCGTGGACGGTCCAGGTAAGTTTATATATGAAATTTCAAGTAATTCGGTTGAATCTTTTCTTCAAAATGATGAAAAATGTAAAACAGGCCCTCTAAAAAGTGCAGTTCCCGAGGCTTGACGTATCCCAAAAGTTGATCATCCGTGCAATGGTGGAAGTAAACTTACATATAAAATTTCATCAAAATCGGTTCAGCTGAACTTGAGATACACGCGTGCACACACAGACCGACAGGTTGCTAAAAATAGTTTATTTTCACTTCCCCACCATGGAGAATATATTCCCATTGAAAACTCGATATGCAAAATTTGTTGAAATCACATTACATAATATCTATTGTATATATAATATCGGTAAAAAGATACCATTGAACAGAGCTGTCATTTATCTTATATATTGGATAAAAAATTTGAAAAATTATAATAACTATGATCGCTTTTTTATCTAAATAAAAGAAAAAACAAAAAAAATCATTTTTATAAGTTAACGTTATCAGTTTTGTTTGATAACTTTACTGAACAATTCTAAACAATATTATTAACTATAAATATTAACACATATAAACCTTAATGATCTGAAACAGTATAATTTCCTCACTCTGTAAAGAAAAATATATTTCATTTCATCATTTCTTAGAAAACTGTGATTATACAAAAAACAGATCAATTTGAAATATTTGATTGTATGCTAAATTTTATCAAACACAAACTCATTTTGCTTAAAAAAAATCGGGTCCTAGTAAATTATGTTACCCGATGTAATTAAAAACTTAATAAAATTACAAATTATGAATTAATAAAAGCACTATAGAATAAATATTTCTTTTAATTATTGAAATGAATAAAATTTGCATGTACATATATGGTGTAAAAAAAAATTTTGCAAATGGGAATAACAATTAACTTTACATCTTTTTCTTTTGCTCACTTGTTATAGTTTTTTTTATAAGTTAATAACTTTATTTTTTTTACACTTATTAAATATTTTAAGATTTTTTATTTACAAACTGCACTATTTTGTAAATAAAAAAGGAAAATCTTGTTTACATTTTGAATGGCAGCGCGTAATTTTATAAGAAAAAAAAAACAGTAATATTTGGCATTTAATGTTAATTTCAGTTTGACAGTGCTCGGAGCAAAGAAAGAGACTTACCTGGAGTTTTTCGTTTCACTATGTCTTTTTTCACGATTGTTTAGGGAGTGTAAGCGAGATACAAACAAAGATGCTCATTCCTTTAGTATTTCTAATTCGTTGATCCAATTCAGCGTGTTTTTGTTTTATTGCTTAACAGTATTTGTAAAGCCTTTTTTGGGATGTCGTCGTGCCTACTACTTTTTGTCTCTATCTATCGCTTTTTTCATAAGTTGTCTCAATTTAAAAAAATTTAAATTTTTATTTCTAAAAAATAATTTTTATTCAAGTTTTTTATAAACCTATTACAATTTTTTTTATAAATGCCCGTATTACAAAGAAATACAAAAAGAAATCCCATAAAAAAACTGCTGAAAACAAATGAAATAAAAAATGAATATCAGATGACCATTTAAAAAGTAAAAAGTTTTGTTAGGAATAACTTGAATTAGAAGGCTGATTTTGAAAAAAAAAAATTGTTAAAAAATGATCGAGCTTTTTGAACAATGTCAAAGTATGTTCTATAACTATACAACTTCTTTTAGTTGATTTGTTTGAAGGTGTAGCAAACTTTTTACATGGGATTGGGTTTTGTAATTTATATTATATAGTATGTTGCGAAGAAGGGGAACCAGCGGCCACGAAGTTGCATTGAGAATCCGCGGGTTTTTATGCGGTAAATTTTAAATATACAATTACTTTAAAGTTCAATTACCTAAAAATATTCAATTACTTCAATCACTTGACCTTTTAAATAGTAATAACTTTCAAGTAAAAAACAAATCAAAATACCTCACTTAAATATAGTCTTACTTGAATTACGTATATTAAACAATGAATTTGACAGTTTTTTTTTGTTATTTATGTTTAATTATTTACTTTTCATTCAATTGCTTTTTTGTGTTATTAATTTAATTTTTTTAACTTTTGTACGTATTTATGTATACATGTATAAACAAATATTCGACTTGAAAATAAAAAAAACTGAATTTGGGATAAATAAAAACTGAATTTAAAATAAAAAAAATTGAATTTGCACATCAATAACAATACAAAAGATACATGTATGGGTATTTGAACCTTATGCGGCCTCCTTAGTTTTTTTTATTTTAAATTTGGTTTTTGGTTAAACCTACCTCTAATGGTTTAGAATAAGGAATGAAATAATTACTCTTTTCTTCGCACGCAATAAAGGTTAAAATAAATAAACAATATATCTTTTATTAATTTAGTACTAATAGATACATACATATATAATTAAAATATTTTTTTTTTTTCCTTCTTCACTCCTAGGAGTGAGTCTGGCTAATGTATGATATCTATGATGCTCTAGTTTCTATAGTCATAGAGAGTTAGCTAGGTAGGTGACTAGTCTACCGTAGTTTTTATTTATATTAAATATTTCAGTTTATTAATATTTACTGTTTATTTTTCTTAGTCTTTAGTATCGAATATTATGAACATTTGAAAATTACTTGTATAATATTTTATTAGTATTTGCATATTAAGTTATATAATATTGAATATAATTTTCATAGTGACCTGACCGGGGTTTGAACCCGAGACCCTTCGTTTAAAGGGCCGGTGCCATAACCACTGCACCAATGGTCAGATAATTAAAATATTACTAGTACTTTATTAGATATTAATAAAATATTAATAATTTATTATTAGTACTTTAATAATATCATTTTTGAATTTTTGAATAAAAAAAAATGAATTGATTTTTTTTTTAATATATGTATGTATATATGTATGTACATACAAAATATGTATATACAGTTTAAAATGTTGATTGAACCAATTATGTAATCAAGAGTGTTGTTTTCATACATTGTAATAAATCTACTGCTTTTCTATGAGGTGGAGCGGTACCGATTTGAAATGTAAAACGGGAATACTATTACCAAGTGCCGACTATTTTGAAATATATAAGTAGGTAATATATATGCATATGTTTTTTGTACACAATTTTGTTGTTCAAATTCAAGTTAAGTTCCAAATTTTTTATTTTATTAGAAAATATGTGTAGTAAATTGTTGTTTCTTTTACTTAGTGGACTTACCCTACATATATCTTCATATTGCTACTTGTATCTTCAAACAAACTACACACATCTTGCTTGTAGCGTATAACGCATGCTTATTTTTTTATTAATACGTGGACATTACAAGTAGACGATTTCAATGGTAAATAAAAATTTTAAAAATCAGAACGTGAGTTATAAAGCTCAAATTTCAAGTGATATAACAGGTAAATCATAGGCCATCATGTATTAATCCGTGCTATAAATTATGTGTATTCAATTTAATTTTTTTTAAATTGACACATTCTTGATAATATTTGTACATATATCACCAGCTGCTTTCATTTGAAAACAATTGATCATTTTTATACAAGTAAAAATAATTTTTGATTTAATAAGAATAGTAATTTGAATTCTGAGCTCAGTATATGAAAATATTTTTTTATTAAAATAATTTTTTTTTATTTCAGTCGAATCACTAATTTATTGGCGAGATGTAAAAAAATCAAGCCTAGTTTTTGGTATAGGTATGGTTGTATTGTTGGCAATATCATGTTATTCCGTAATTAGTGTTATTGCTTATTCAGCACTAATTTCACTCTCTGGAACAATTGCCTATCGAATTTACAAAAATTTATTGGCCGCGGTACAAAAAACTTCAGATGGTCATCCATTCAAGTAAGTTTAATTGCTTTAACATTTAACATACATAAATAAATTAAACTTTGATACCAAAAAAAAATCTTTTATATGTATGACAAAAATCGAATACATATATGCATATGTATATTATATGCGTATATAATATACATATGCATCAATGCATGTATTTATATACACATCTTAATCATAGGAAGTAAATTACAAATTTTCTGTTATGGACTTATATTAATATGTATGCATGTAATGTACTTATATTAATAAACAAATAAAATGTGTAATAATTATAAATAAATAATGCTTATAAAATTTAATAATATATGAAAATAATTATGATTTATAAGATAGTATTCGGATATTAATAAAATTTAATTTTGAAATACAATACACAAAATTGTCTCTAAGTTTTATTTAAGTTAACCTATAATTAATTACATGCATATATAGAACATAAACATATGTATATAATAAAGAACATAAACATATATACAACATACATATGTGCTATCTTGCTTTTTCATACAGAGTTATAATTTAAAAAAAAAACAAAACCTTTATAAAATAAACACATACTTATGTATATGTTACTCACGATATCTCTTGAATAATTTACAAATTTAACATTTACACGTTTGACTTTTTAATCTATAGATATTTTCCACCATATTTAAGCTTAACTGTTATGTCACACATTTTTATTCAACCAAATATTATTTTTCAGGGAGTATCTTGATTGGGATATAAATTTGTCACAAGAGAAAGTACAGAATATATGTACCATTTTTGTAGCTCATTTAAATGCTTTTATCACCGAAATAAGGCGACTGTTTCTGGTTGAAGACCTAGTGGACTCACTCAAATTTGGTGTTATATTGTGGGTCTTAACGTATGTTGGCTCCTGGTTTAATGGAATGACCCTTGTAATATTGGGTATGATAATTGATTGAAAAAAATACATTAACAATATTAAATTAATAGTATTATTTTAGCATACATATCTATTTTTTCATTGCCAAAAATCTACGAACAAAACAAACAAATTATTGATCAAAATTTAGATATTGCAAGGTTTAAACTTTTGGAAATTACAGACAAGTAAGTATCTAAAGATAAGAAACGAACTATAATTAACTACATGATTTTTACCAAATTATTTTTTGTTTCGTATTGTACTTTTACCAATTCTAAGATTTGATGTCAACTTGAATTTAGATACAATCATAAGCCAAATTAGGACTGTTTTTAGTAGTGTTTATGGAAGTGTCCACATAAAGTCAAATTCAAATTAACTTAATAGATTTCTGCAGAATAAATAATTTAGTATGCGCAATAGACGCTAAATTATTCTGCAAAAACCTTTCAAGTTGATAAAAATTAATTAAAACGTTACTTTTCCTGAACTATATTTTTTCATATCCTTATTTACTTTTAAAGAATTATGAACGAATGACGGGTTACCAACTTGATCGCTTTAGTCACTTTAATTTTAACCAGATTAAAGTGATTTATCAAACTTAAAGATAGAATTACATTTATTGAAGCTTTTATTTTTTTCGGAACGGAAGTTATAAGTAAAAAAGTAAAATAGAAATTTCGTGAAAATGCGTTAAAACTTCTGTATCTTGCAATCCGTTGAAATTTGTCAACTGATTCCAAAAAAAAATTTTACCCATTTACCCTTTACTGACCCACCCTGAATATTTTATTATGAATTTTTACTAAAACTTAATGTTTGTTTTCAAAAATGAACTTCATTATTTAATTTTTTAAATTTGGTAGTTATTTAATTACTAAATTCAATTGAAGTTAATAAATTGTTTGATTTACAAAATTATTTCTTTTATAAATTATTATTTTAAGCATTATTTTACAAATAATATGTAATTGTATTATTGCACCGCCACGGTACCAGTGTATACTCTTTGGCCATCAACTTCTTAATGATGAGTATTTTCTCATGATTGGAGATCTAGAGTACATTGTGCCGAACTTTGATTTTCTGAAAATTAATTGTTTAATGAGGTCTCTTGCACTCGACGATTCATGAAAATCTTCAACTTCTGAACATGTATCATTATCTAAGTTTTTCTATGGTTTTATTTTCTTCGCGCTAGTTTCTGTGATATTACAAGCCTCATGATCTTCTTTCTTTGATGGCAATAAGCCTGTACGGACCTAAGAACAAAGGCTTAATTTTGAAAACTACCAAATTGAACCCTCTATATTGCGACTAATTCGTTGATTTGGTATTTCTTTACCTATTTTCTTTCTTATTGAAATTTTGTTTACCTTCTTGCATCTTTTTAACTTTTTTTTGCTTGATCTCGCTGATTTTGACATGCATCGGAAAATTGCTGGGGTAGTTTTTCTTCAATTATTTCTAAAATTTTTACTTCTTTCTGGTTTTTCATTTGGCATCCTACAACAACTCAAACGGTATAGTTTTGATTGCACGATCATAGGTTGAACTGATGAACTGTTTTGCGTAGGTATACCATTTATCATGTTGATTAATTGCTAGTTTCGGTAGGGCTGGTATTACTGTTGAATGCGTTTTTTTTTCATTTGTTCGTTTCCTCGTGATATGCCAACATTTAGAGAATGTAATTTTGTACCCAAACGTTTCACCTATTAACTCGTCTTTCTGAATAGATTCCTTACTTTTAAGAAGAACAATCGTAGAAACTTTGAAAATAAGTTGATGATTGAAAGGATACGCTTATAATGTTTTCGTGTAATTTTCATCGAACCTAAGTGATCTAAATTAGATGTTTTAAGTCGACGCTCTTTTTTGGGAATCGGATCGAACTGCCTCAGCTTCAAACTTTTTCCAGTCAGCTAGAATACATCTCTTTTAACTATAATTTCGCTGAAACGTGCTTGCAAATCTGTAATGTAAAAGACCTTTTCATTAATTTTTTATTTTTTTATGATGAAAGTGTTCCTTTTCGTGTACTTCTTTTATTATATAATTTTTCTTTTTATCTGGAACGGCAAATAGTAAGTTATTTTAATATTTTTATGCAATATATTATTTTGTGTCTAGATGGCGCATTTTGTAGCCTGCTCAGTGTTCGAATAAGAAGTAGTCGAATAATAATACCCATCAGGCAATCCTAGTTGTTAGATCTTTTTTTTTTATTGTACCTTCGAATGCCTTGCAGTCTGCTATTAATTTAAATTTCTGTGCTTGTATAATTTGTGACGTTTTGCGTCACCCGTTTTCTTATTCAAGTAATATACCGGATGTAGATTATCATCTTCAACTTTTTTTTTAAATACCACTGCGACATTGCCATCTTATGCGTGCGTTTGTAATCACGTGTACACTCCATACTCGAAAATTTTCAGAACCGTTTACACATTAAATCTTCCTTTAATTTATTAAATGCCATAAGATCTTTGCGCCAATCCTAGAATGAATTATTTTCTTCAGCAAATTCGTAAGTGATTGAGTTTAATGCTCATTCATTTTGCTATGAATTTATACAATTCATTTTGCTATGAATTTCAGGAAGTTCATCTGGCACAGAAAGGTTTTGCACTTCGTTTGTTTTAAGTGATTCGTCTAAATTTGAATAATCTGTCGAATGAAAATTCTGAGTGACAAACTTGGCGAATGCAATCAAAAATCAAAATAATACATATGTACTTGTGCTTTTTTTTTGGATATTATAGCATTTAGAGGAAAAATCTAAACATATACCAATATTTTTTACAATAATTATTGTAAAAAATTATTGTAAAAAATATTGGTTGTTTAATATTAATTTAAGCGTGAAGAAAACGACCCAAAAACAATTCGAGCATTTAAATTGTTTTTGCAAAACAAACAAAAAAAATGTACATTATGTGTGATATTAACCTTATTGTTTTCGGTTGGTTTTCTGATGTCTTACGGTAGCAATATTTTGGACCTGGCAAATGAAAGCATTCGCTGATCATAGTATAAAATATCATTCGATTCACCTAATCTATTCGACTCGCTTAGTCATTTGCTTCGCCAAACATAATAAGGGTATAAATCGCTCATCCTAATTATATGCAATCCTTAATGAAATAGTTTCATACATATATGAAAAAAAAAATCTGATGTGGTCAGCACATAACCGACCGCATTGTATATTGCCTAGTTAAGTGAAAGTGTTACAGAATATTATAAAAATGTCTGTTAAATACTTCTTTCCAATTTTTAGGACATTAGTAAGCTTATAGTTAACATACTTAGAAAAATGTAAATTTGGCTCTTAGTAAAGTTTCGCTTTGTGCTACCCGAATTCCCTGAAATGCTCGCCAGTTAGTTTCGGTAACAACTAGAACTCAAATATCAAATTTCAAGAAATTCCATCAATTTGTTCTGTGGATATGGTGAAAAATGTAAAATCAGCCCGCAAATCAGTTCTTGAGCCCTGATCTTTCCAAAAAAGTTATATGTTCATTGCTTCAATATGAGGAATTCATATATTAAATTTCAATAAAATCGGTTGATTATTTCTCTTTATATACACAAAAGTGTATGTTTATCCCGTAGTAAACGTCTAGTTGCCGATGCCTGATCTTTCCAAAAAATTTACATGTTCATTGTTTTAATACGAGGAATTCATATATTAAATTTCAATGAAATCGGTTGATTATTTCTCTTTATATACACAAAAATGTATATTTGGCCCGTAGTAAACGCCCAGTTGCTGATGCCTGATTTCTTCCAAAAGTTAGGAATTTTTGCGTATGATCGAGCAAAGCTTATATATGAAATTTCAAGTAAATCGGTTGAATACTTTCTTCAAAATGGTGAAAAATGTAAAATCGGCCCGCAAATCCGTTTTCGAGCCCTGATCTTTCCAAAAAATTTATATGTTCATTGTTTTAATACGAGGAGTTCATATATTAAATTTCAATGAAATCGGTTGATTATTTTTCTTTATTTACACAAAAATGTATATTTGGCCCGTAGTAAACGTCTAGTTGCCGATGCCTGATTTCTTCCAAAACATACGAATTTGCGGACGGTCGAGCTGAGCTTATATATAAATTTTCAAGTAAATCGGTTGAATATTTTCTTCAAAATGTTCAAAAATGTAAAACAGGCCCGCTAAAAAGTGCAGTTCTCGAGGCCTGATATATACCAAAAGTTGATCGATCCGTGCCATGGTGGAAACAAACTTACATATAAAATTTCATCGAAATCGGTTCAGCCGAACTTGAGATACACCCGTGCGTACACAGACCGACAGACCGACAGGTTGCTAAAAATAGTTTATTTACACTTCCCTACTATGGAGAAGTACGTTCCCACCGAAAACTCGATATGCAAAATTTGTTGCCATCACATAACCTACCTATTGTTTACACAATACGGTCGGTAATAATTTAAATAGTGTAGTAGGTTGTTTTTAGAAGCAGCATTTATACTCGTTGAATGGAAAAGTGCTACAATACAAACCATTGGTTTGACCCAATTTTATCATAAATGAATCCTGATTTTATATTTAAATTATGTTAGTATATCCAACTTTCATATTGCAACCAAACAATTGTTTGTTTGAAATTGATCAAATAATCACCCTGTTGTTTGGGGTTATCCCGATTGTCTTATTACTATGTGATAGCAAAGCAAACCACATCCTAAGTCGCGACGTTTTATAGCGCATGAATCGGAGGACGAATTGATTTCAAATGATTGAATTCACGGTTGTAAAGGAACTTTTATCGTGACGAAACAAGATCCAGTCATTAAAGTTCGTAGATTTTCGTAGATTCTAAGGGAACCGAGTGGGACAGGAGCATCCCCCCAAGCCACCGCAGCCATTTTTGACTTATTGTAGCCACCCCACTCTCCCGTCTATAATATCGCCGTCCCAATCACAAAGCCGGCGATATCCCTAAGGGAGTTGGACAATAGTTCCCGAACACTTAGAGACCCATGTCCAAGACAATTGCGGCGCCGAACAGCCAGTGCCGGACAGTCGCAGAGAATGTGCACGGCGGTCTCATCGCCACCCCCACAAAATCTGCACAGGGGGGAGCCCGACTTCCCCAGCCTGTGCAGGTGGTATTTCACCGGGCAGTGCCCCGTGAAGAAATTCGCTATAGTG